CAAAACAACAAAAAAAACCAAACCAACCCCAATCTCTTATGAGTAGTATGGCTAGGTTTAGCACAGGTTTATTGATGGGTTTACACTAATCAATGCATCTTGGCAACTGCCAGATAGGGTACTGTGTTTCCTAGTGGCTTTAAAGGGCATTTAAAAAAAAAAAAAGATGCTAGAAACCAGAATGCATTTCCCCATAGAAAAAGGAAGTTAGAGTAGATGACAGAGATAAACAATCCAAGAAATTGGTTTTGGGCACTGTGGCTCATCTATGTATTCATGGGTTATGTTTTCTGTCCCCAAGAAGAGGCCTCCATAATGTTAGTGTGTATTTGGGGCCTCTTTTCAATAACTTCTTATTTTGCTATATTACTTTTCTAAAATTTACTGGTTTAATAATAATATGAATATGACAATTTTAAATTATTCAGTAATTATCAAATATTTATTMTAAAATATTAATGTTTGCACTAGTKAATGATTTTAATACTTCTGTGTTGGAAAGGTAAATTTACAAGCTGATACACAGAAAGAATAAGCACATTCTGCAGCTAAAGAATCCTCCAGTTTGAGCTGCAATGAGGAAACATAGCTATTATCTGTGGAGCAATACACAGAATATGGCTGTACCCACACACTCAGGCAGGCACCTGACTTGGCAGCTGAAGCATCCCTTCAGAAACATCTCAAGAAAGTGAACTTGGGAATCTGAAGACCAGTGGTGATAAASCAAGGACAGCCATGGCAAAGCAAATGCTATGCAAGACAGAAAACCAGGAACCAGCCTACTGGGATCCCGTTCTGTAGTCGCTTCCTTCACCTGTTGCCAYAACATGGCTTTCCCTGAAAAACCTATTATGTTTTTACTGAGCTAATGAGCAAATATAGGATAAGATCTGAAATTATAATTTGCAGCAAAAAGGGTCACAGATGGCAGAAATATAGGTAGGTTTGCATTTGTTATTTGCATAATAAGGAGTGTTCTCACAGACCTGACTGTGAGTTGTAGGTCCTGAGGAGCAAAGTTCCCATCAAGCCCTGCAAACTTAATAATCCTTTAGTGTGTTTTAATAGAATTAACTAGCTAAACAAAGAGCCTCCACATGGTACTACACTATCAGCCCCAGGGACTTTCTAGGTTCAACTCCCATGATAATCCAAAGCTAAAAATGATTTTCACTGTGGGGGACCCAGACTGTTGTAGAGCACTGGCCTGAGTACTGCAGCCCTTAACCGTGGTCCCCCGAGGCTCTGCTTTGTTGGCTCAGGTCTTGCTGCAAAGTGTGTGCACAAGGTCAGCCCTTAAGTGCATTTCAGAACTGCATGGTTTTCAATGGAAAAGTAAGCACAGCCCTACAGCACTCTGATTTTTGAGTGACAGCACAGCTCTGTGCTTCTGGCCTACTGCACACAGCTTCTGCTTCACAGCCACACCAGAGAGTAAGGCAGGGCTTTTGCAGACCGCTGCAGCACACCCTACGGACCCCCCATAAATTATTAATTAAACAGCGGATTTTCCATGCATGCATGAGCAACACACCTTATCTTTCCCTTTAAAGCTTAGGTGAGAGTTGTTCATGACACAGCTTTTGCTTGAAATGTATGCAAAAAACATAGTTTCCAAAGGCTCTTAAGATAAAAATCAAAAGTATTCATCACTGAAGCACCAAAATATCACTGCTAAATTTGAAGCACACTTGCTCCAATATTAAAAGTGTCAAAAATCATCTCTCCCTTTCAGATAAGACAAACATATTTATTCTCTTTCTTTCATGTGAAAATACCAGTGTTTTCCTTGAGTTTTGAGTCAACATCATATTTGGGAAATGTTAAATATCAATCCAAGAAATACAGGGTTCAAACACTATGAAGCAGCTAGAAAAAAGGAAGCAAAAAGGAAATATCCAAACAATTTTATTGTGTCCAACATGCTATATGTTGTAAATACTCGATGAATGTAAAAGAAAAAGAAAGCAATCAAGGATTGACAGCCTAAAATATGGTGAAAGATGGCACAAGACCCTTCCTCGAAGAGCTAACTATGAAGAATAAGTTACTGAGAAGTGAGAAACACAGAATTTCCCACCATTATAGTCTTAGCCATGAACATTGGCAGGGTCAGAAGGAATGTACAGAAGGCAGCTTTGCTGTTGCAACAAAACCAGAAAACTTCAAGGAAAAACCCCAAACATTTTCTCTGTAGACAAATTAAAAGTGGATCCACAGGTTGCCATGACTACAAAAGAACATTTACTCTAGCATTGTTTTTCCAGCAGCTAAACAGAAATTTAAGTGACTCAGGAGAAAACACAGCTATGTTTATAACATTACATTAGGTTTATATAATTAGATCTTTCAACTGCAAACCAGTGCTGGTGACAGTTTTCTTGACTGTTCATAAAAACCCAGTGGACTGGTGTAACCATTTTTAGAACCATCCATCACACCTCTGCACCTCTGCAATCATTTCAGATCAAATCACTACTAGCATGTCATACATGACAGTTTTCACAATCCAGAACACTCATTCTGGGTTACAGTAATCCAATTGTCAGTTTCTGTGGCTGGCCCAATGGGAACACATGAAAAGCTAAGTCTTAGACCACAAGTCAAGCCAAAACCTTAGGCATGCAGCCCTATGTGGGAGCCTCTACAGCCTGTCTCAGAAAAGTGATCTTCCTATGCATGCATGAGAGAATAAAGCAGCTTTTTCTGCTGGTAGGACAGGCAGAAGAGGGACTTGTACAGACTAAGTTGAAAGAGGAGTAAGTTCCATCAATAAAAACTGCATGCACGTGTATGGCAGCAGACTCCTTCATTAAAATGTCCTGTTGGATTGGTTGATGAAAGGGTCAGTCCTGTCAYTCCATCAATGCAATGGTCTCCTCCTAGAGCTCTTGTGTCCAGCAGTCTCTTAAAAAAATAAAACCAGAAGTTTTTGCCATTAGGAGGGGAAGGTTCTGTCTGTGTTCATCAGTCAGCTGTGATGGGACCCTGGTTTTGGTGCAAAGCATGCAAGAGTTGGGAGATGTCTTTTTTATGAGTTGTGGTTTTCTACATGCCAACCCAGCAAACTAGATTCATGAGGTTCAAACTGGTCACTCATCATTACCAGCAAAGAAAGTTCTGCATATCCAGTCATGTCTTCATGTCAGGGTATTCTGAAGACATAGGGTGTCTGTCATGGATCGATTAAAAGGATATCTTGGCCTACAGAGCTATGATTTCTGGTGACCAGTGAGATGAAATGAGCCCAGTGCAATGCTCAACTCACAGGCAAAGTTGGCAGAGCTTAAAATTAAAAAAAAATCATTTGTATATAAAATTAGTGATTTTTTTAGTATAATCAGTAAGACACTTTTGACATTTTTGAAGGTAGAAATGCAACTTAAACCTAACCCCTCAAAATATACTGGGTTTTCCTGTTTACTTAGGGATGCACATGAGATGGATTCTTTTCTCTGTATTTACCTATATACATTATATAGAACTTTGAAGTTTTAATGAAGACATTGCAATTTAAAAATATCTGAATAGAACATAAGATTGGTCTTTTAAATACCTACACAGTACAGCTTTTATAATTTTCCATATTGTGCTAGAGTCCTTGCAAATCATCAGAAGGGCATTAATCTCCCTTTTTTAAAGACTGAAACATTCAGCATTATAAAATCTGTTGAATCTGTAGATTCAGATCTTCACACCAACCTAGACTGAAAGTTTGCATCAAAAAATGCAAAAAATATGCCCCCCCTATTGCATACGATCAGTCGACAGAATCCAATGACAGTTCATGTTGAAAGCACTGCTGTGATAGGTAGGCTTTGGATAGCTGCCATTGCCGTTGACAAGGGAGGGAAGGACTGTTGTTCTAATGAGCGTTTGTACAGTAACCTGCACAGCGGCGTGCCCAATAGCAAATAACAAACCTTGATCAGAGATTTCAAACATTCCTGTCATATCAGACAGACAATTCTGACTGCTGCACAACTAGGGACATCAGCTGCTGCATGAAATCCTTAGATTACCCCACGGATACTTCTGAATCACGTTTAACTAACCCAGTCATGGCACGCGTGTTTTCACTTCCCACGTTTTACTTGTGCCACAATATTACTTTTAAATCAGTGGCAACTTTGGAAGAACAGTAATTGCACCCTGAGCAATTGCACTGAGARCCAAACCGTGCACCGGAGGCACAGAGGCCCACACCCTGCAGAGAGCCGGCCTGGCAGGAGCATGTGTGTGTCYCCCCAGACCGGTGCAAAGCCTGCAGGGAGCCCAAGCCGGGTGCCAGATGTCCCACAGCCCTTATGCTTAGCACCTTCCCCCACTTTCCTCCGAGGGCTGCCCCGGAGCTGGAGCTGTATGTCCTGCTTTGGGTCAGTGACATGAGGGCCCCGACTGCTCACGCTCTCCTGCACGATGATCCGTGTGGCCCCGGCCATGCAGCCGGGGCTGGGACCCACCGGGTTAACATCCCGGCACCTTTCTCCTCACAGCCCGCGGGAGCTCTTCACCCTCTCCCGGCACGGCGGGCGCTTCTGACGGACCCGCAGGCACCGAGGCCAGCGCTGCTGCCTCAATCCTGCGCGGCTCCAGCACTGCGGAGGCGGACAGCTCCGGCCGGGATCGGGGGCCGGGACAGGGGCCGGGGCCGGGTCCGGGACTGGGACCGGGACCGGGACCGGGACCGGAACCGGGACCGGGACCGGGACCTGGAGCGGTGCTGGGCGCAGGTAGCCCCTCCTGGTGTCGGGGCGCAGCGGCGGCCCCTCGGCAACCGGCACTGTGGTTTTAAATGGGCGGAGCGGCGACGGGCGGTGAGGCGGGCGGTGGGCGGCCCACGCTGGCCCGCCGCGCCCATATAACCCCACCTCCCGAGCGTGGAGTGTCGCGGCAATTGGCTGGATGTGGTACTTGGAGATGTTGAGCTGGCTCCTTCCCCCCATGTCCCTGCACACACACAGGGGCGGGTGGTGCGGGCGGGAGCGGGAGGCAGGGCTCAGCCCCGGTGGCGGCGGCAGGGCTTCCCCTACTCGCTGCCTGCCCGCCGCCGTGCCCGAGCCGCTGCTGCTGCTGGGCTGCTGCCTGCGGCCGCAGGACCCGGCCGAGCCGGGCGGAGGGGAGCGCGGGCGGCTGCTGGCGGCGGCCGAGATGATGGCGGAGGGCGGCGGCGGGCCGGCGCGCAGGAAGGCGCTATCGCTGCTGGAGGCGGCCCGATCCCGCTACGAGAGCCTGCAGATCTCCGACGACGTCTTCGGGGAGTCGGGCCAGGACAGCAGCGGGAACCCCTTCTACAGCACCTCGGCCGACTCCCGCTCCGCCGCCTCTTCCCAGGACGAGGAGGACGACGAGGAAGACGAGGGGCGCCCGCGGGTGCCGAGCCCCCGGGGCAGAGCGGCCCGGCGCCGCGCTCCCCGGGCGGCGGCCACCCCGGCGGAGCGGCGGCGGCAGCGGCAGGTCTGCGGCGGCAGCGCCGCTCCGGGCGGCCCCGGCCCTATGGAGGAGGAGGAGGAGGAAGCGGAGAAGGGGGGCTGGACCCGGTCGCTGCGAGACGTCCCACCCCCTCATTTCAAGGATGGCAGCGGTACGAGGAGAGCGGGCTGCCGGGGTCGGGGCGGCGGGCCCGGGAGGCCGTGGGGATGCCTGCGGGGGGAGCCCGGAGCGAGGCCCCCAGGCGCGGATCGCGGCGCAGCCACGGGAGGAAAACCTCTCCGGGCCCAGCTGCCGCCGGGGCTGTTGCCCGGCGCTGACCTCGCGGGCAGGGGCACGGCAGGTGCCTCCTGCTCGGCCTTTGCTCGGGAGCGGGCCCGCTGTCCGGCCGTGGTGCCCAGGGCCGGGCGCGCCGCTGCCGGGGAGCCCGGCCGAGTCGGTGAACGGGAGASCTAGTAGAGGCCGCGTGTGCTTAGTCAGAGGCATCTCCTCCCCGGCGGAGCTGTGGCGCTGCTCCGAGCGCCGGCAGCGCCGGGTTCCCCGCGGAAAGAGGACAGGCTGCTGCTCGGAGCAGGGTGGGTGTCCGGGCCCCAGCCGTGGCTGTGCTCCCGTGTACGGGTGGCTCCTTATCCCCACTCACAGGTGAGGAGAGCCGCTGCTCAGGGCGCTGCGGGTCACCTGCCCTKCGCTGTGAAGTAGGGCTCTGCGATTGGGACGGGGATTCCCCCTGGCTCCAAGGTTTTCTTTGCAGCCGTCCCTAAATTTAGCCCTCCTTGCGTGGCTTTTGGCCAGAGCTAATAGCAGGAAGAGTGGTGAAATGACACAGCGCGACCTACTGCAGCAATGCACAGAACGGAGGTCTCCGTGGACTGGCATGTGTGGCAAGTTGCATCACTGGTTTTCAGAGGGAGTTGTTATATATCTGCAGGCCGCGACAGCTAAGTTGACTGTGTAGCAGAGCAGCAAAACGTTGCAAAAAAAAAAAAAAGGTTAATGGTTATGAAAAGCAGGGATGTGAAATTCAACATGTGCATCTCAGAATAGGATGTGAAATTCAACATGTGCATCTCAGAATAGGATGTGATGATTGCAGTCAATTGAGTTGACAGTTGGTCTTTCCAAAGGTTGCTTATCTTCACTTTTTTTTTTTCCAGTAGTGTTTAATTTCTTCTTTTTAATGTTAAATACCGAAGAGTGCTGCTGCACTTAGTGTAGTGTGCTGAAATTTGTGCAATGGGGCAGGCCTATCTGAGGGAGCAGCTTAGGATGGTTGGGGAAGAATATGGAGCAAGCACTGGATCCCTGRGGAAGTTCAGCTGTGCTTCGACAAATGTGCAAATAGGAGCTGTGTTTGCCTCTAGAAATAGCTGGATTCTGTAAAATGTTTTAAAATTACTTATGTGCCTCTGTAGAGAACTTCTAAGTTTTACTGAAGGTTCTTATGAGCATATCTAAGATAAGGTTCTGGACTATGAAATTCATAWTGTGATGCTATTCTGTCATTGATTATCATTTAATTTCTCTGCCTTTGATGGCTTATTTCTTCATATCATTAATTTTCAGTAATATGCTTTTTAACACTAAACTGGGATTAGTTTTTTGATACTAGTTCGGAAAGGACTTGACTTGATTACCTGTTAATTCAGGAATTTGTTTTTCCTTTGAAATGAAGGAGTCTGCTTTATGGTTGCCAGAAACAATGCAGTTGTCTCTTGAGGAAGGTATATGGATATTGCTGTGAATATTTCCTCCCACTAACAGATGCAGAAGAGGTAACTTCTGCCCTTTCGTTGTTGATTGTGATGATGATGATAGATGCTGCATACTCTTCATAAAATAGTGATTTGGTTTGGCAGAAGTTCAGCTAATGTCATTATTTGATATGTGTGAAACATGTACCCTCTGTGATATTTTTGAGTATTCAGTTTTCAAGCAATGGGGACTACTGCATTGCATRTAACTAGGCTCTTATACATCTAGTTTGTAGATTGACTGGCTTTARGCCTTACAGATAACGTCATCAGAGTCATGCTGAACACACTTGAGCTGGCACCACTGTTGCTTCATTGGACACATTCTGTAGTTTGGATCTACAACTGCTGAGGGAAAGGTCTCCACTGAGGTCCCTTGCCGTGGCAACATGTCTTTCAGTCCCCTATGGAGTGCAAGCAAGAAATACAGGGTCAGACAGAGGACTAACAAAACTGTATTCTCAGTTCAAATGTGTTGGATGTAAGATCCTTTCTTTCTAGATTCTGAGATTGAAAGGAATAGGTTTACATGAGACTGAGATAAAAATTCTTTGGTTAGCACCAAAACTTTGGAGTGTGGCCTTTTGGTCACAATCTCAAGGTTTGAATTCTCCCTAACTGTGATAGGATTCCTGTGCTATGTTGTTGTCCTGCTAAGCAGCCTCAGACAACTCTTCACCCTTCTATGTTTTGTTTTGTGCATCTGTAGGAGTGAGATAGGGATACCCTCTGGAAATGTGTTCAACATTATTAATAAATAGTACCATAGCATAATTATTAGAAATAATGGTCTAGATTATTTTTCTTGCTTATATATTGATGAGACTTCAGCCTCATTGATGCTGGAAATAAATCCTTGAATCAGACTAGGATCACACCTAGTGTCAAGCTCTTTGGGTTGGGAGACTGTCCCTTCATGAAAGGGAAGGAGTGGAGGAGGAAAAGGTTTGAGTTAGTTAATGAGAATGAGCTAGAGTTCGCAAGAGAAAAAATTAAGAGCCACTTACAAAGCTTGTGGTCTTTTTAACTACAAGCAGAAAATACTATCACTTCCCTTTTTTCTTTTGAATAAATTATTTAATGGTGCCTTTCTCTTCCCAGCCTCAATATTAAATGTATGTCTTTATAAAGTATTGTACCCATCCCTAGAATTATTCTGATCACAGACAGGCTAACTGATACCTCATCCCAGAAGTACACTCGAGACCCAGATGTGCTGGGGGCTACTGGCAGTGTGTTAGATGGTTCACTGTGTCCTCAATCTGCAGTCAGTCAGTGCGTGTATGCATGATGACGCCTGCCTTGCTTGTGTGGCAGGTTCTGACAAACTGGAAWAGGTCTGGCTTGATTTATGAGTGAGGAGATAAGTGACTGGCATTGCTATGCAACATAGTGCTATTTGTGTCCCAGATTTTTTTTCTGTCCTTTCTTCAGGGATCTTCAGTTCCTGTTGTTCCTGTTCTATTTAACAAAAATACTGGATTCCCTGGAAAAAAAAAAAAAAAACAAACAAAAAAACAACCCAATGTTAATAGCTTAGCTGACTTCCTTTGTTGAAATCCAAAATAGTTGTTAAGTTTAACATAGAGGTTAGAACAGGTGGCTTGCTGGCACTTTTTGTTATTTGCTGTTCGACTATTCTACAAATCAGTCGTTCAGTTGGTGAGAAAAATCCCAACCATATGATTTCCTGCTCTGGTTTTTAAACTAGTAACTTGTGGCACTGTGTAGTTCCAATTAAAATAGGTTGAGGAAAACAAGTGTCTGTCACAAATATCAAAGCAGTAGTGTAGTTTCTGAGGTACTGGGATGTGAGTAATGGATAGGAAGTCTCAGGGCAGTTACTGAAATGCCTTTCCTTCACAAAGAGCACCTGACTACAGCAGGTCCATGGGCAGGTCAACAAGTATGTTTAAAAGGATGTAATCCATGATCAAATGCTGGTTCCAAGCTTTTTGACCTAGTTGTAGAGTGCAGAAAGAATAAGAGAACAAATTATTGCTAGGATGGGGAAAGCATAATTGAAAAGGAGAGAAAGAGAGAGCAACAACTATTACAAGCAAGCAAGCGCCAGTAACTCAACACAAGCCCTTCATTTCCGGTTGCTCCTGCTTCAGACTTAACTGGTGTGTTTTTCCTGTCTTTAGGAGTGGAGAGGCTAGGAGTGGTGCTTCCCCTTGTTAGCTCAGTAACCTGGCCATGAACTGTTCTGTAATACATAGATGCACTATTGCTTCTGGTCTTGGTTCTTGGGGTGTCTTTGGAGGTGCAAATACCCTTATATTGCTGCAGCCTGATGTTCCTTATTTGGGGTAGTTGGCATTTTCTTCCTAGGGTCCAATGCGTCCTATATCCATATAGCTCAGCAACCAGAATATTTGACCTTGAATGTAAGAGCACTTCTTACTGTTGGGATGCTATTTTATAGTTGTCTTTTAGGGTGGCAGCAACAGCAGGGCAATCTAAGCAAAAGTTAATGTTKATGTCCTCAAAGATACAGGCAATTAGTGCTACTGTTTCCTTCATTTTCTATGCCCTCTAAACCCCATTCTTAAGCCTAGACCTAAGGACAAAATGTTAAGAATGTTCCTTGTTGAAAGAGCGTAGCAGGTCCTCTTTGAGTTGCATTTAGACAGTAAACATAGCTTTTATGGATTTACAGTGTTTCTCTGAAACACCTAGTGTGTCATAAGTTGCTGTCTTTGAAGAGCATGCTCCTGTATAACAGTATGCTCTCAGGAAGAAGCTGCTTAGACCATGTTTAGCAATCTTGTCACCTTGAAGAAGTTTAAGCAAGTATTTAAAGTAGTTTTTATTATTTTCTGTTCCCAAGAGCATGGGCAGGCAGATGGGAAGGCAAAATTCCATCAGCAAGGAGCATGGAGAAAGGGCTTAGGCTGTGCCATAATAGAGGGCCATATAGGTGCCACTACTGAATAGTGCAGGAGCTCTTGGTTCAAGTCCTGAATAGAATCTGAAGGCTTTAGTCTTACTGGATTGATGTCAATATTTAAAGATTCTAGAGTAAGGAAAGTATGAAAACTACTTAGTCACTTATGTCAGATTCTGCTTCAGAAATATCTGGCCCAAATTTTCTGACTGTAAATGRATAAAATGATGCTGATATGATTTGTTCTTATTTATGCCATCAGAGAACTTAGCTGCTTTTGACTTGCATAACCATGGAAAATATTGGGAAAAAATGCATATCTATATAATCTGTTCTTGTATTCTACTTAGAAATGACTTAGAATGACAGTATCACAACACTTTTCAGGAAGATGTGATAAATACATCTCAAAGATGCACACTACTACTTTATAAGATGGCTTAAAATCTTGAAGTTTTGCTAAATAAGTGAATAAGCAAAGGCTTAATGTCTCATACATCTCACAAAATACGT